TTGGTACCATACACTCTAGTTAAGATATTAAATGCATTCTCGAAGAATACGATGACTATCCACTGCCAGTGTTCTGTGTGTTCTCGTTCTGGAAAGTATGGGAAATCTATTTTCAAACGGGTAAATTTGCTTCCTATATGGTTTTATTCATTGTTAGGAATGGTATGTTTGACTGACAATGCTCTGTATGTTTTTGATCCTTTGGTTTACTTTTGCAGATCTCAAACTTCTCAACATGTAGAAATTTGACCCTTGTACTTCTTTGGATTATCATGGTGATGCTGATATACTATATCAAGCATACAACCCATGAGGTACTCCATCTGTTGCTAATATCTGATGATCACATGATTTAATCTCATAGTTAGCTACTACCTCATCTGTTATAGGATGGAATTATAGGCTTTAGGTGAAGACTTTAATGGTCATGTGTGGATTTATGAAATTTAGTCTTGCATTCTTCCATAACTGATTTTGCAAACATGGAATGAATGGTCATATATTAATATCTTTGTGATCATGTATTAATATATTAATGCAAGCAACCTTTATTTTTATCAGTTTGTTTCTTTCATCAACGTTGTATACTCTGTGTGGCGTGCCTTGGGTGTTTCTCATGATAGTACATAATTCATCTGTCTATTTTTGTTGCTTCTCAGATTAAAGTGTTTGAGCCATTTAGTATTCTTGGTTTGGAACCTGGAGCATCAGATTCAGACATAAAGAAAGCCTATAGGAGACTTTCGATACAGTATCATCCTGATAAAAATCCAGATCCAGGTTATAGGTTTTATTTGTTGTTCCCATATATGGTTTTGGCAGCACTTTGGATTTCTTTTTGAAGACCTAATACCTATCCACCTTTTCTCCTCCCCTTTCTTCTCAGAGGCACACAATTATTTTGTTGAATACATTTCGAAGGCTTATCAGGCCCTGACAGATTCAGTCTCTCGGGAAAATTTCGAAAAGTATGGCCACCCAGATGGCAGGCAGGTAATAAAATTCCTTGGATTTGTCTTTAATTGCAGCAGAATAGCAGTTTCATGTTTGAGAGAGTTTGGTTCTGATTTGTCGTCCTATTTTCACTGGTTTCATAATTTAGGGTCTTCAAATGGGTATAGCCCTACCTCCATTTCTGCTGAATATTGATGGAGCATCAGGTGGAATACTTCTGCTGGGAATAGTTGGAGTATGCATTCTTCTGCCCTTGGTGTTGACTGTTATATATCTCTCAAGATCAGCCAAATATACTGGAAATTATGTGATGCATCAAACATTGTCTGCCTACTACTACTTAATGAAACCTTCTTTAGCTCCGAGGTACAAAGTTCCTCCTTGTTGATTTGCTACCTAATGTTTACTGTGAAAGACCTATAAAAAGGTCACTATTGTTTTGTGTTTGTAAATTTATAGAGACCTTGGACTGACATTCTTTCAGTAATGGCTAGAAATTTTCCCACCAGCAAACAATTCAACTAGGTGAATGACTGGGTCATTTCACCTTATTCCTTGTTGCATTGGCTTGACATGGTAGAGACTTGAAGTCAGATAGTTGAACTAAAAGCTATCATAAATTATACTTCTGTTGACCATGTTCAATAAGGTTTCATTTTGGTTTTCTCTAATAGTAGTCTATTTGTGCAGCAAGGTCTTGGATGTCTTCATAAAAGCTGCAGAATTCATGGAAATCCCAGTTCGGCAAAGTGATAGGGAGCCCCTTCTGAAATTATTCATGTTGGTCAGGAGCGAGCTGAACTTGGACCTTAAGAATATTCGTCAAGAACAAGCTAAATTTTGGAAGCAGCACCCAGCTTTTGTAAAGGTGGCTCATTTGCAGCCATGCCTTTCTATATGTCTTTCACTATCTTGTTACTCAAACACACTGAAGTTTGGGCTTATATTCTTGCTGCTTTACGTTACTTACCTTTCTACTTTTCAGGCAGAATTATTGATCCAAGCCCAGTTGACTCGTGAGTGTGCAGCTCTGCCTCCAGCTTTGTTGTGTGATTTTAGACGCATGCTTGAGCTTTCACCCCGCCTTCTTGAGGAACTAATGAAGGTGAATTTAGATTTATCAGCTCTTCTAGCACAATAATGGATTTGTTGCACACATTTTTTGAAAATTGTCACTTGTGTACATGCATCCAGATTCGAACATATTGATAAAAATAGCTCTGTATTTTTATTGTTTCTCGCAAGATCATTGACATTGTTCTTATAAATTTTCGGTATTGTTAGGCATCTAAGGGTTTTGAAGAATTGTCTAAGAAATCAAGTGCATTTACCATCTTCATCTTCTTCAATAAAGAAGTGCAAAAGAACAAGTTATTTCCAATCTATTGCAACTCCTCATCCTAATCATAATCTTTTAAATAATTGAATTTCCTAGAATGCAAAGCCATAATGCTCTGTAGCTGGCACTGATGTGTGAGTGTGTTTACTAGGTCCTCAGCTATCTTATTCTACTTTTCTGAACAAAAGAATGCTCGCAAGTCATAATATTCTGCATTCTTTGGAAGTTTTATCAGTCATTATGTTATATATGAAAACAGATGGCATTAATACCACACGCTGCTCAAGGGCATGGGTGGTTGAGACCTGCAATTGGTGTGGTTGAGCTTTCTCAGAATATCATTCAGGTGTGTTTTTATGCTCCTTTTTTGGAATCTATTCTGTTGTCTGGAATTTGGTGCTTTCCTTGTGTATGACTTTACTGAACACTTTCGGTGCCAATATTATGTTTAGTTACCTCTATCCATGTAGTCATTTGCAACATACCAAAGAGAAAAATGTTAATTACAAGGTATGCCTACGCAGCTTAAATATTAAATGGTTTGCTGCATATTCTGGAAGGATCAGTTTCCTAAACTAACACAAAATAGGCTTTGTTGATGAGAATTAGCAACCTGTGTTGCCTAATAGAGATTGAAGTGGAATATTAACATTTGGTTTGCACTACCATCATATCAGTTGCCAATGTTTTTGTGTGTGGCACCTTTGATAATCCTTGCTTTTTTCCGTTTTCATTTTATTCCTATTGCATTTGACCTATAAATGTCAAAGGTTTCTTACCTGCCATTTTAGTGACAATTTTGTACCAAATCTCTATTCATAAACTTTCTCTTCTAATAATTCTATAGGTTGGGCCTTCACTGCCAGGCCTTCAATTCCATTTGTTCTAATACTGTTTTTTTTTTGCTGCATAAGTTCATTCTCTTTTCTTTTCTCTACCAAGTGATTAATTTTATTTATTCATTGAACCAGGCAGTTCCGCTAAGTGCTAGAAAGAGTGTTGGGGGATCGAGTGAAGGTTTTGCACCCTTTCTACAGCTGCCTCACTTTAATGAGGCCATGGTAAAAAAGATAGCAAGGAAGGTAATACATTGCTTATTTTATTGGTTTTTGTACTCCACTAAAGAGTCTTGATGCTTCTGCAGTAATTCTATGATGCCACCTGTATATAGGCATCTTTTCGGGATTTATTGCTTTGTTGCTTGGTTATTATTCTGCATCTCAAGTCACACTGTATGTCAACCATTTGGTCATGTTTTTTGGATTAAGTTATTTGTGGAAGAGGCAGAAAAACACTGGTTCATTAGCAAAGCCTCCGAGACTTCAGGTTGAAATTTTCACATTGATGGCCGTAGTTCAATTGTCTTAGAAAGGAGGTGAAAATGCTACGTTCTTACTTGTACGGATTGATAAATGCTCTATAAAACAAGATGTTGCCTTGATGTTGTGATGTAACATGCATGAATCATGACATGGCATTGTTGAACATTTTGCATCTGTTTCCTATTATTCTTTAGTTTGAAGAATCTCTTTCATTATGACTGCAGAAAATGCGAACTTTTCAAGATTTCCGCAACTTGACCTTAGAAGATCAAGTTGAGCTGCTGACTAAGGTTGCAGGGTTATCTACTGGTGAAACCAAAGATGTGGAGATGGTTCTTGAAATGATGCCTTCCTTGACAATGGATGTCACATGTGAGACAGAAGGTGAAGAGGGGATACAAGAGGGTGATATTGTCACGATGCACGCTTGGATCACGCTTAAGCGTGGGAGCGGTCTTGTTGCTTCTCTTCCTCATGCTCCTTACTTTCCCTTCCACAAGGAGGAGAACTTCTGGCTACTGGTTGCTGACTCTGTCTCCAATGATGTTTGGATCTCCCAAAAGGTTAGCTTCATGGATGAGGCTGTGGCCATAACAGCAGCATCTAAAGCAATTCAAGAGTTGAAGGAAGGTTCAGGGGCAAGTCTGAAGGAGACAAATGCAGCTGTTAGAGAAGCCGTTGAGAAAGTAAGGAGTGGGTCAAGGTTAGTAATGTGCAAGTTTCAGGCTCCTGCTGAGGCAAATTACAATTTGACTGCATTCTGCTTGTGTGACTCTTGGATTGGTTGTGATAAGAAGACAAACTTAAAGATGAAAATAATGAAACAGAGTCGAGCAGGTACAAGGACAGGTCCCTTGTCAGAAGAGGGAGCAGTCATGGAAGGGGAGATTGGGGAGGAAAAGGAGGAAGAAGATGGATATGATGATTATGAGAGTGAATACAGCGAAGATGAAGAGGACGGACAAGATTCTAAGAGGAATGGAGCTTTGGCCAATGGTGCTGTTGATAATAAAGGAAATGGATCAAGCTCTGAAAGTTCCGACAAGGAGTGAAAAACTTTTTATTTTTGGTTTTTCCTTTCTGGGAATACAGGGGGAGGTGATGGATCCCATTCATTTCTTTTATATTGTAACATTTGATTATAGGGTATACCAATCCACATCGTACTATGAACTTAAATGCCATTATGCTTGTCTCATAGAATTCTTAAAACCATTAACTGTATCTGTTGATTAACTTCCGTTAGTGCATTCAGTTTTCCTGTTCCAAAACCAAGACATTTCACAAGTTCTTTCCGAAACCCACTTGAGCCAGAAGCAGCAAATCAAGCGGAAATGATCATGGATCTGTCTCCTGTTTCTCTAAAATTCCAACCAACAAGAACCTTCGAAGACAGAACATATGCTATAATTGACATATTTGACAACTTGCAGAAGAATCCAGTCAGGCAATTTAAATATTATTGACTGGTTTCCAAATTATCTATAATTGAGATATAACCAACTGATTAACAAGAAAAATTATAAGTGCCTCCAAATTCACTTTCATTACTATGGGCTGGAAGTTACTTCATGTCCCAAAATCAAGGGCTTCTATGCTTTGTTGAATTTGTAAAGGACGTAGGTATAAAATGACTATCTTTTAGAACCTTAAAACTAAGGAATATTATCTGTGTCACGAACTATCTTCATTGAAGGAAGCAAGACTGCAGCCACCGGATTACTCTCCAGTCCTCCACCTTCATCAATAACCAGCCTAAGGCCATCGATGAGAAGTTTCCCATGGTGACCACTTATCATAATTGTCTCAGTCAGCTCCTGCAAGTATTCAACACCAAACAATCGATCACTCGGCTTTCATATCATGACAATCATGTTATTAAGCCCACAAAAGCTGCACAGTACCCCTCCTAAAAGGAAGCTTCACTGGAGTTAAGAAGTTGATCGTCAAGTCTATCTATCTATATATTAAGGACAACAATGTCAAAGATAGATAAGAGTTGTGTCATAGGTAGTGAACTATTCATTACCTTGGGGATATCCCAAACATCCTTCCTCCCGCTTAGAGCTGTTACCTTGGGCACTCGGGTGTCTCGGGCTTTCAAAAATTCAAGCTGCTCTTGGACATTTTTCCCTCTCTCTAAACCAGCATGTACAGCAACCAATTTACAATGTTTAAGTCCTTCCTCGGTCTCTATACAGACATCATCCTGGAGAAATGCACATTTAAAATACTCACTAATTTTACCACCTTTATTCAGTAGTCATGCTATAACATTATAACTAATCTTCACATTATTGTTCCAGAAAACTAAAGAATTGCTTCTAACTTACTTTGTACTATTCACTGTAAAGTATTTACCACATTCTCATCACACACCAGTGTTCTAAAAGCTAAGAAAAGCCAGAGAGAAGAAGGAATACCTCTTCATGAACCCAAACCATATCAGCTAGAAATTTCTTGTGGTCTTCAGGAACTGCCTTGACCAAATCTGCAGACAACAACAATCCTTCTTTCAAATAAAAATTAAGATATCTGAATCAATGTTAATTGTGAGCAGAAAATATCTTGTCTTAGATTAAAAAGGAGTAACTCAATCCAGAGGAACCCAATTACAATCTGTTAACTAAAATTATAAGAATAAAATCCCCATTGAAATGTAAACAACTAAGATAACCCTCAAGTGCAATAAGCCAATTGAAAATAACAATTAGAAATTATGCTAATCAGACACAAGCACCTAATTCAACATACTAACTAAGAAGAGGTCAAACACAATCAGTCCTTCAAAAACATACAATCTAGAACCATACCATGAATGAATCAAGAATCCATTTGCCACTTAATATTTTGATCATACCCTCAAAATCCAAAATCTCAATTGAAATTGAATGACGAAGAATCAAACACAATAATCCATTGAAAAATGAATATCTTAGAATGTAAATCTCCATTTACCATTGAATTGTCCAAACCATTACCCAAAAGCCACAAATTGTAAGTTATCATTTGAAAACCAAGAATAAAGCTCTAACTAAAAAACCACCTTGATTAAAGGCAGAGCCATATATGGAAAAAGCCAACCATCCAAAATAATAATAATAAAAAAAAAACATGCATTACCAGCAGATCCATGAGATACTCCATAAGACTCGAACGTAGGAGCAGCATCATAAATGGAACCTTTATACTCCAACCCTTTGGCAGCATTAAACTTAGCCTTAATCCAACCACTCCATCTCCTCGCTTGCAAATGCATCTTTTCATACCCTTCTCCCTTATACCACCCTTCTCTTTCCTCATTATCCGCATACTCTTCCCACGTGTCCTTCGCTTCAAACTCCCCCGGCAACACCCCGACAAACCCGGCGAAAGCAAAGTCATGGTTTCCTGACAAAAAAACATGCTTCTGATTCGGATATTGCCTCGGCAAAGAGACTAAGAAATCGATTACTCTGCGTGTGTCGGGTCCACGGTCACAGTAGTCGCCTAGGAAGATGATGGTGGCGGTGTTGAAGGATTCTGGGTCGATCTTGGATTGGAGGTTGGACCAGAGATTGACAATTTTGGTGATGTAGCCATGGATGTCTCCTATGCAGATTACGGTTCTGGGTTTATAGGCGGGATCTGTCATTTTTGGGGTTCGGTCGGGAGTTTGGGAAGTTATCATCGGCAGAAGTGGCCAGCTTATATACGCCACAACTTCAGCTGGGTAGAAACTAGAACGCACATGTAAATATTTTTAATACTATTTGGCATTTTGTTTGTATAAATAAAGCTTTACCCATTGTTTATTTTCCTAAACAAGAGTTAAGTTTGGATTCCATATTGTTCACTATTATGACTGGTAACTGATGATTAAAAAAAGTTTAATCTTAACTTCCAAAGTCTAGAAATTAAGGTCACTATCATATAACAGAATTAATACTTATAATTTATTGCTTTCAATAATTTGATTATTCATTATCAAAAATTTTTTTATTATAGGCTAGTAATGTCTCAATTATAAATTAAAAAAATTATGATAATTACTTGGTTTAGCTATCTAAACAGAGAAATTGCTAATTCCAAGTCCCAATGAGTAAAACTGTAAAACCCTCTAATGGATGCATTTTTCTTGGAATCAGCATCTACCAGCGTTGAATTGAAGCAACTGAATTATGGCATCGAAACTTTGTCCCCTGCCTTAACTTTTGTTTCAGTCTACGGAGGTTGCCTTAATCTCCTTCACATTTTTATCTTTACCTTGTGCCCATTAATGTGATGGGAATTTTGTTGGACTGACGTTATACTCTTTGTGTTTGTTCACCCGCATTCAGTGACCAAAAAGAGAGAAAAACAAAGAGCATGTGTGATAAATTGCAGGAGACACATCCATTAATGGTAGTGAAGGATGGAGTAATAAATTCTTTGCTAGGTTAAGGTCAACAGATGGAATGAACAGAATTTTGCATGGTCTCAGCGGTACTGCTAAGGTATAGCGCCAAAAACTGAGAGCAACAAAGACAATGTTAGATGAAGTCACTCAATGCTCAAATCTTTCAAGAAAAAGAAACAAAAGGAATGCTGTTGGCCCTTACGTTTTCCCCATCCATCGACTATGCTTATAGTTTGGTTTTCTAACCTACAGGTATACTCCTAAAACTAACATGAAACGTGGTTATCTCCTTTGGAAGTTGAGGAACTTGATACCATAAGCAAATACTAAGAAGAAGAGGAGACACCGGCCAATATGAGCCGCGACAACGATTGGAAGGAAGTCATATTCAAAGCCTAAGTAGTCTTTAAGAAAGCCCTTGACTGGCACACTGTAGAGGGTCCTTTTGATTAGGGACAGAGGACGTGTTGTAATGAGTGAATTGGGATGTGTTAGAGGCGACAAAGAGGAAGATTGGAGTAGTCCTTGAAACGTAAGTACTTTGGGTGGCAGGTGGTGAAGGATGAGAAAAGTGGAGAAAGTGACGGATTACGGCAATTGGGAAAAGTTAAAGGACAAGAATATTTGTAGGAATCTAGAGAGAGCTTTCAAGGCAATCTTTTTGCTAAGTCTAAAAAAATCCCTCTCCTTATGTCCCAACCTCCTATTTATACTGAATAATAACATTTTCTTAGGAGTAGTTGGGAAAGCACGTTTAATCATGGAGAACGTGCTTATCATGTAAGGGCAGTTGAAGAACGTTTTGCGAGATATTAGAAGAATGACAATGTAGTTGAGTAGTGGGTATAAGTTTTAAGTAAATGGAATAGTGGCATTTGATAATGTGTCACGTGTATTTTTAAGAAGTAAGAAAGAATAAAAAGGGTAAAGCACATGTACTTCAAAGAAAGGCTAAGAGTAAATCTTCTTAACTATCTCCATATCTGAGCCACCAAGCCAAACTCTCTAGAACATCCCACATGTGAAGGTAACTTATAAACCCTGTCACTTGTTCTGAGTTACTTTCACTTTCCCATACAAATAGTTGTTCCATGCTTATAACACTTTGAACGCTTCTACGGTTGAAATCCCGTAACTTTCTATGGTTGGAACTATCTTGGGCGCTTCTGCACTTGGAACGCCCTTGGGTGCTTCTGTACTTGGAACGCCCATGGGTGCTTCTATGGCCCTGGCTGCTTTTATTCTTGGAATGCCCCTAGCTGCTTCTGCGCTTGGAACATCCCTAGACGCTTCTATACTTGGAACACCCTAGGTGTTTCTGTGTTTAGAACACCCCTAGGTGCTTCTGTACTTGAAACACCCTAAGCATTTCTGTGCTTGGAACACCCTTAGGTGCTTCTGTGCTTGGAACGCCCCTTGGTGCTTCTACGCTTGGAACTCCCTGGGCGCTTCTGTACTTGGAACGCCCCTGGGCGTTTCTCCGCTTGGAACACCCTGAGCTCTTCTGCACTTGGAATGCCCTTGGGTGCTTTTGTACTTGAAATACCTTGGGCATTTTTGTACTTGGAATGCCCTTAGGTGCTTCTGCACTTGGAATGCCCTTGGGCGCTTCTATACTTGGAACACCTTGGGCGTTTCAGCTCTTGGAACACCGCAAGGAACGCTTGGAATGTAATTATTTTGTAAAACCAAAATTGGGTATCTACACCCACTACTCTGTCCAGGGATCTCAAGAAGATCATTCTTGTCGCCCACTTGACAGGTCACAACCCCACATAGTGTCCAAGGCACGAGAAAGCCCCACTAGTACCACATCCACCATATAGGGATTTGCCGCAATGGGTGAATAAAGCAAATTTTTGGTTTTTTTTCTTAAAAAATTTTTCAAATGGATTAGATTATCAAACCAACAAGCTAATCAGAAAGAGTAGTTAATGACTTTGAGATGACTTATCGTCCTAGGAAAGAGAAAACCAAAGAACAAGTTCCAGAAACTAAGGTAGAAGGACATGACAATTGCGGTAGTTTGATGGCCCGGTGTTAGAGCAACAATTATCATCCCGTATAGAGTGAAGTAGACAAAGCATGTTAATATGTAGTAGTAGAACCATAAGAATTTTTCGACCTTCCACTTAAATCCGATCATCATGTCAAGAGGCAAAGTGTAAATGAGCGTTTAAATTACAATATAAATGATTTCTATGGCCACTTGAAGAATAAAGTATTGTTCTTTAAGTCTAGCATTCAGTGGTAAGTTTGGGAAAAGTTAAGTTCCTCAGGAATAGAAAGGGGAGGAAGAAAACCAATCAAGTTCTTATGTAGAAGTGAAAAGTTTTACCTGAGCAAATGCATAAGGTAGTTTAGAATACATCTCGATCGCTCTGTCACGGTAGAAGACTGTTCTCTCTTTTGCAACAATAGATTGCACAACAGAAGCATTTGTTGCTCTGAGGAAAAACATGGCAGAATACATTGCTCCAAGAAGATTAATAAGATCTAGTTGTTTGTTTCAGTACATGAAAATATTTTTGGTTAATGCCAAATTTTCGCTCAATAGTAAACAAATAAATGTGTCATAGTGCCTAGACCACATTTTTTCGTAATTCTTCAATTTAATCGAAGAAAGGAAAAGTAAGACTTACATATTTTCTCCTTTGTTCTAGAAGATGAGACCGAATAAGATTCCAATAATTATCTTTGTAAAGAACCTAATGGTATTGTATTGAGCATTCCTCCAGTAAGACCAGTACCGTTTCCAGAAGCAGGCATTGCATTGAGTGAGGAATGGTTGGGAGAATTTGGTTGGGAAGAAGAGATCACTGGAGCCTGAAGTTGGTGTACTAAATTCTTTGATAAGTTCTTGATTCCTCTTGTAAGTTTGTTAGAAGAAAAAACAAAAAAACAAAAGAAATTAAGCACAATGTATTTATTAGTCTTGGGCCTGTGAAGGGGAAAAAAATTAATGTCTAAACTATGTCATTTCAGTTAAACTTACTGATAAAGTGAAGAATTGGCGTAAATTTTGCAAAATCCACATTCAACTAAGCCTCAATAGGTGGAGAGTTGATTTCAAGCATCCATGTTGCTGGATTATATCCATCCCTGATCATTAGAACCCCGTTGACAACCTGTAGGAGAAGATGCAATTTAATTAGCTCTTGCTGCATTTTCTCTTAGAGGAAATACTTAGACAGTCTTTGTTAAGTATCTAATTGGGATTTACTAAGGGGGAAATACATTGTATATGTGATAAGACAAACAGAAATTTTCACCTCCAAATAATCTATAAGCTTGTGAGAGTAGTGACCAAAAGGTCCAGCATAAATGACTTGCCTTTCTCTTTTCATCAACAGCAACCGCAACAAGCATAATACCAAGTTGAGTGTAGGTAATATAAATTAATTAAAAAAGAACAAAAACAAAGGTGGAAAAGTTCCCCAAAAGGACTTTAGTGGTTTGAATTTACCTCATCAAAAGCTTCAAAGATGTCAATGTTAGGCTGGTGAATAGTGCACATGACAGCTCTTCATGTATCCACAGTATTTTTTACTGTGCACATAACAATTGCAGTAGTTCTAGCATCATGTCCAAAAGTTGGCTCATCCATAAAGATGATAGAAGGATTAGCAACCAACTCTATTGCTATTGTCAACCTCTTTCTTTGTTTTGTTGAAAGACCATCAACACCTAGTAGTCCAACTAAAGTATGCCTAAGGGGTTGGAGCTCAACTAACTCTATTACTTTGTCAATAAACATCTAAACAAAGGCAAATATTGAAAAATGTAGGTTATAATAGGAACTTTGCTTATGAGAAGATGAAAAAAAGAGAAAAAGAGATTTCCATGGAATTTAAAGAAATAATGTTTTTATCAACCTTTCTAGTCTTGGTGTCTATGTCAGAAGGAAGACGGAGCGAAGCTGAGCACACAAGAGATTCATAAACTGTAACATTTGAGGTGTGAATGTCATTTTGTTCACAATAACTGCTCACAAGAGTAAATGTTGCTTGGTTCTTTTTGTAACCTGAGATGCTAATATTTCCCTTAATGTATCCTCTTGTTTTCCTTTTTGCTAATACGTCCGTCAAGGTGGTCTTTCCAGCACCAGTGACACCCACTAATGTTGTTAATATCCCTGATCTGAAAGCACCACTAACATCTCATAGCAATTGAAGACGATCCTCTGTAATCCCTTGAGCCTTCATTTCCTAGTAAAGAAACCAAGATTTCACCTCAATGTTTACTCGTTAAGGCAACTGACTTGCTGATTCCTTTAGCTAAGTGCGATGTTGAAAGGGCAACGATGTTGTGAGTGGTTATGGTGGATACCCCTTC